ATTCATGATCACCTTGAGAAGACTTTCATTGATCTCGCATCATGTTAGTAACCTGGATGAGCATTCTTAGCAGGACTGTGGATAACGAGTATACTGTTCACTCGAAGCGGAAACCGAATCCAAGTCATCGTCTGAAATGTGAACTGCGTCCGGGGGGGTGCTGCATCAGTCTCGTGGTTGGCAGGAGAGAAGCCGAATATTAGAGCATAGGGAACCCTCAAATTCCTTTATTTTGAAGTGCACCTACAGTTTAAACGAAGAGGGATGATAGATCTGCCGAGGTAATAATCACTACGAGAATAAGTGAGGCCGAAAGAGCCAGCGCTCAAACGGAGTGAATTGTAGGCATCCATCTTTGCCTGGAGACGGTGACGTAGGACGCTTATCAGAGAGAAGAGACCCCTCCCGCCTAGGAGATAGATCGTAATTATCAATATAGAAGTATTTAGGAGGACAATTAGACAGGCATTCCCCATATTCCCAAGCTTTGTATGCGATTTATTATTCTTGCAGAAGGCAGAAGAGTGACTGGATGTTTCTCCGTACCCTTGCCCGCCAGCCAACGGCTCTAAGATTAATGAGGTGATTCTCCGATCCACACCGATCGCCATCTTTGTCCTTTCTTCCCCTCTTCTCATCTTTTCTTAAGCCTTGCTTTCTTGAAACATCTTGCCTGCTACATCAACAATCATCATCTTTTATAATTAAACTACGACGATCCATCAAAGAAAAACACATTGAAGAGAGGGATTTCAGGAGGAGATTTATAACGTTCTTCCATCCTGCGTGGCCATCAGTGTCTCTTCCTTCTCAATAAATTTCTTCTTCCCCGCCTCCCCCACGCCGCCTTACTAAACAATCCAGTCCGCCCGCATTCATCCATCCTGCTGCATTCTCTAGTCCGCAACTCAAAACCATCCTCTTCCGATTTACTCCCATCGATTTGCCTCTTCCGCAAGTTATAGCCTGCTCTCCTCCCGTGCAATCATCTATCACCGCATACCGAATTCTCAGATTGCAATCATGACAGACATGGTCGGAGGACAGAGCGACGATGTCCACCAGGTCCCGCCTCCTCTTCCACCGGCTCCCATGGAGAACTACACCTTTCCTGAACATCGTTTGAAGCGCAAGATGGACGACCCAGAGAAGACCCCTCTGCTCCTCGTGGCTTGCGGTTCCTTCTCCCCCATCACCTATCTGCATCTTCGCATGTTTGAAATGGCCGCCGATTACGTCAAATTCAGCACGGACTTTGAACTCATCGGTGGATATCTCTCACCCGTCTCAGACGCGTATAGGAAGGCTGGTTTAGCCAGTGCGGAACATCGGTATGAAGTTTAGCGGTTAATTTATCCGCTCGTTCAGATTGCTGACGACGTCTCTTATGACTCATCAGGGTTGCGATGTGCCAACTCGCGGTTGATCAGACATCGAATTGGTTGATGGTCGATACATGGGAGCCGATGCAGAAGGAATATCAGCCAACTGCGGTTGTGCTTGATCATTTCGACCATGAAATCAATGTTGTACGGGAGGGTATTGATGTTGGAAATGGTACCCGGAAGCCCGTCCGGGTGGCCTTGCTGGCAGGCGCTGATCTCATCCACACCATGTCAACTCCCGGAGTATGGAGTGAGAAGGATCTGGACCACATTCTGGGCAAATACGGTGTATGTTCAAATAGGATGGACCTTCAACTAGGATTGATTCGGCTCACAGTCTTTTAGTCTTTCATCGTGGAACGCAGCGGCACCGATATCGACGAGGCTTTGGCAGCATTGCAACCATGGAAGGACAACATCTATGTGATCCAACAACTCATCCAAAACGATGTCAGCAGCACCAAGATTCGACTTTTCTTGCGACGCGAGATGAGCGTGCGCTATCTCATTCCCGTCCCAGTCATTCACTACATCGAGCAGCACCATCTGTACGAAGACGACAGCACAACAGCCGCCTCGTCCTCAGCCGATAAAGGCAAAGAACCTTCGCAACCAGGGAAATCAGGCTGAACTCCTAGGATGCCCCAAGATATTGCTGCATTTGTACTTTTATGAACTCTCGACACCTTGAGCTACACTATGATGCCAGCGAGCGCGTGAAGCAAAGGGACTGCTTACTTGGTGGCTTGACTAAACCTCCCAGTCACTTTGAGGGCCGATACTGGGGCCTCCTCCCGCATCTGTGTTCTGGTATTCCACCATCCCTATTGCAATGGTCGCTCGCATCCGGTCCTCCGTCCCGTCCGCGGCGCATGGACGAAACGTCATGAGTTCCCAAAAGCCAACCGCTTGGGAACCCCAGTATCCAGTTCAGCATCAATGATCTTTGTTTACAAGCATCGATGGCAGACCGCGGCACTTCACAGGTTCCCGCCCGAGCCATTATTGAGCCGGTGGCTCTCACAACAAAATGACGCTCGCTGGACCAGTTGTTTTGAGACACCGGATTCGACATATCACCTTGCGCAAAGAGCTTGATATAGACTTTAATTGCTTGTCTTATACCCCATCTGAATGACATAGACGAATGTAGAGTCAATCAAATTCGCAGAACTCATTACTATGATTCGCTTTTGCACCTGTCAGAATTGATGCAAAACATGGCCTCGGCCTACATGCACCAGTTGATGAAAATACCAATCACAGGTCGACCAAAGTGCAAGAAATAGTGGCGCATGCATGGCTATGCATAGCTTGCATGCAGGTCTCGATTTAGCTCGTATTCACATCCATGATATGATAGTGGATTATTTGCATAAAACAAAATACAATCCTACCAAACAATTTATAGAGCGGCGTATTGCATAATTGATAGAAAGCAAATACATCAGCTGGCATTCAGTCATTAAGATCGTCTATATGTACGTATACAACGTCCCAATACTTCCCGAGGGTAAGTGGAATGGAGAAATCAATTCAACCACAGTCACCCCAGACTTCCTCCGCCTCTACAACGCCAACACACTCCTCGGGATTCGCGTCGTGCATCACGGCAACCACCTTCACGCGGGAACCGCATGCAGAGTTAGCTTTCGCCACGCGACGGCGGACATCATCGAGTGTGCTGGCCCCCGAGACACGGAGCCAGTCACCCCGGGATACGGAGAAAGGGAGACCCAGGGCAGCCAGGGCGGAAGCGCTCAGGTCGACGTTACTACTCTGCGAGAGGGAACGGATATGGCTTGGCGGGATGATCTCCGACGGCGAGAGGGCAACCCACGACTTGGCGTTGGGGTGCTGGATTGCTGTGAGTAGGACATCGAGGAGACGGACCTCGTCTGCTGCGGAGACGGTGGGGATCTGGTCTAGAGGCACGAGCAAGTCTGTGATAAGTGTCTGCTGACGGCTGGCTGGTCTCAGGAACGAGACAATCTCCGAGGAGGCGGTTGATCCGCTCTGAATGTAGTCTGACGAGATGGACGTTATCGACATGCTGGAGGGTGTCAGGACGGCCGCGGCGGAGGCAGCCCCAATCGCGCCGCCAGGATGGAAACCCTTGAAGACCTCCGCGGGACCTCTACCGGGTGTATTATGTAGTTGTCGTGCTGTGGCAATAGCCAATGCGTCTCCCAACGCCAGCGCTACTGTTGTCGACGATGTCGGAGCGCGGACACCAAGCGAAGACTCTTCATCCTCGTGGATCGGAGCGGGGAGGAGGATACCCATGTCGGACGAATGAAAGGACAGGATCGGGCAGGTATCCGGATGCATATGCGATGTGATAGCAATGACGGGTGTAGTCGAGGGAATATGCGGCAGCAGAAGCAGAAGTTCCGGCGTGCGGCCGGAAAACGAAATCACCAAGAGGGTATCATGCTGCGGGCGATGTTAGTAGTCTATAACACTCTCCCACTTGAAATGTCTCAAAAAGCCGCGAATATCCGTACCGGTCGAATCATCCCTAAATCGCCATGCAATGCTTCCGTGGGATGTAAAAATGCGCTGTAGATACCCATACTGTTCATCGTCGCCTCCAGCTTCTGTCCGATCTTGCCGCTCTTGCCCACGCCGCAGATGACCAATTTCCCGCCATTTCGGACGGTACGGACGATCTGACTGACGGCCCGCGCAAGGTTCTCCTGCGCTAGCCGGTCCGTCTGGTAGATCTGCTCTAGGTTGGCCAGGGCGGCACGCTCTGTGGATATGACATGGATGGCTGTTGTTACCGCAGCGGTATCCTGGTGCACGGAAGGAAGCCCATCCACCAGGTCTGGAGGAGTCATCGGCAGGAGAGAGAAGCCATCGAGGACGGAGGTGGTGGACATCGTGGGAGGCGATAGTGGCATTCGGGGCTGTTGCAGCTTGGGGTGCCCCATGCTGTTCAGTGGACCATTATCGAAGGAGTCAACTGACGGTTGAGGATATATCCAAGGAATAGATACCCCCTAGATCGCCATTCCCAAACGACGAGGGGATTGAAAGAGAGGAAAAATAGTAGACACGGGGGGGCGAAAATTCTCTGGTAACAAGCGGGGAGAGGGGAGGAAAGTGGAGGAAGAAGCCTTGGCCACAGGGGTTGCTATCAGTGCCTATATGGCCATCTCGGAGATTGAATGGGTGAAAAGGCCGAGGAGACGAAACTAGCGACATTGATGATTTTAGATCAATTAAATAATATAGACTAATAATCTAAGACATCGTCAGACTGCCCATTTTTTCCGGTGTTGCGGCGCATGTATGTCGCGTTCTGGGCGCGGGATTGGAGGAGGACGAATTATCTTCGGAAGCGAAGCAGCGGGAGGAGAGAGCACTAGCTGTAACTAGCACTAAGGCGCCATCGCCTCCTCCACCATCGCCATATCTGACTGTTCCGTCGATCGATCCCGATTTGTAAGAGTCACTGAAGACTCAATTCCATAACGAGGGTTACATTATTGACATATTTTTGTTGTAGAAATAGATAACACATCCACGGATAAGAGTTGCACCAGAGTAAATAATACATTCCCGTAGAACTAATCTTGTATGCCACAGGTCTATAATACAGAGAACAGTTCACTTCGTCAAAGGCTTGATTCCTTTGTGGATCGCTGCAATCCCACCAGTGAGATTCTCGTATCCTCGGCCGGGAATCATAAATCCAGCCTTCTGAATCATAGACCGGAACTCTTCCTGGCTGGGGAACTTCTCAATACTCTCGACAAGGTACTGGTAGCTATCCCGGTCACCGGCGACAATCTGACCGATGAGCGGAATAGCGCTGAAGCTCCACTGCTTGTAGATCGCATTGAATAGACTGTTGTCTACCTTGCTAAACTCCATGCACGCAAAGACACCGCCAGGCTTCAGGACTCGGAACGCTTCCACCAGTGCAGCCTGCTTATCCGTGAAATTACGGATGCCGAAGACAACTGTATACAGGTCTACCGAGTTGTCCGGGATACCTGGGATGTGTTGCGCGTTGGCCTCCATGAAGGACAGCCGAGGAGTATTATAATAGGGGGTGTCGATGCTGCGCTTCTTGCCCTCCGCCAGCATGTCGGGGTTGATATCGGCAATTGTCACCCGTGTCTGATGGTCGTTGTTGATGTTGGTCGCGTGGTCGAGCATGCGGAATGCGATGTCGCCGGTCCCGCCAGCGATATCGAGGATATTCCAGCCTTTGCCGGTGGTGTCGTTGTCGCGGGATGGTAGGGCGGACCCGGGGTTCAGCGATCGTACAAAGTGGTCTTTCCATAGACGATGGATCCCAAGGGACATGAAATCGTTCATGGTGTCGTAGGAAGCTGCAACAGAGCTAAACACCGTCCGTACTGAGGCGCCTTGTTAGCATGCATCTTCTGCCTTGGGATTTCCCCCCAAAACACAGAAGGAAATCACAATGCATGACATACCCATAGATTCCTTTTGAGATTCAGGAACATTCTTGAAGCCGAAATGGGTCATCTGGTCGTCGTGATTCGACTTGCTATCTTGTACTCGCAAAGAGCAGGAGAAGCATCGGTACTGGCTCTGGGGAATTGCAGCCCTTCGCTTTGCACTGTAGTGCAGACTTCTCCATAATGAGCGGGATGACATGGCGTGGTGATATTCAATGAATTGGACCCCCACGCGTGAGGTTGAAATAAAATGCTGAAGCCGAAGAAGAGGTTGACGGTGTGACCCGGGCAGCAGCAGAGCTCCTAAGAGCGTCAAGGCACTTTTTCTGCCGTCCGGAATCTCACGCCGCTCTTATCGGCCATCACCGCTCCATTGAGCAATGATTTTTCAGGAAAATAAATCTGTCAAGTGAAATTACCGGGAATACTAGCTAGAATAGCCGCTCCGAGAAGACTCTACTCAAGGTTGCTTAAATCACAGGATTTCTTGTCAAAAAGCAGCTCACCGAATGGAGATGAACAGTCGCCGGAAGAAGGTGCCAGTACAAATGCTACTACCAGCTTTTTCGAACGCTATCTCAATTCTCTGCTGAGCAGGTCTGATTTCCTGTCGATCTGACGCACCGGGTTGATCTGGCCATAGGCTACTTAAGCTGCTAGTCCCTCACCTTCTGATCCCAGAGACTCTGTACTGTCACCCGCCGCACCCAATTATCTGTGATATTTCCTTCCTGGACTACAAAGGAAACCTCCTTTTGAGTCCCTGGAAGCAGTACGAAAGCATTCTCCTTAAAGTATCCTACTGCACCCGCCGGGTAATCGAGCCAGGTGTAAAGGGAAACCCCTCCGGTAGCCTGAACGGTAAATTTCCTGCTTTCCGTGCTGTACGAGAGCTCGAGCTTTGGGTCCTTCAAGGTGAGGTCTTTGGGAAAGACTGGCGTGAAATGGTTCTGATGGACAAATGCTTTTTTATTACTTGCGTTTGGAAGACGTCCCTCGCCAGAAAGAGACAGGATGAGAATGGAGTCTTTCAGATCCGGCAGAGAAAGCTCAGAGATATTGGCTGTGTAAATGTTGGTCGTGTTAAGGGCACCCACTGTGAAGTTGACAGTTTTGGGCGTGCCAGCATTGTTAGCAATGGACTTGCCTGACAGATCAACCCAGGTCAGGTTCACGGTGCCCTGCGCGGGCTCCCACAAGTCGGATGTCACATACACCTCCAAGCGACCGGTGGTATAGTTCCAAAAAGGCGACACAATAATAGGCTGATAGATGTCTCTGGCCACATAATGAAGAACCTTCCACCGGCCATCGTACTCGATCCCCGCCCAAGTCGGCGCTTGCCAGATGTCCTCTAGCTGCCAGTACAGCGATCCTAGCTGACGCTCTGGCATTCCGCTTCCTCGGCGGTAGAACTGAATCTGGGACTTATACATATCGGCTTGGAAGAGTTGCGTTGCATGGCACCAGGCACTGAAGTTGGCAACAGAGTCGGATTTGCTTGGTATTGGATAGTATGCTTCCACACCCATCGTCATTTCACCCATTCCTTTGGACGAGTTCTTGAAGTTGTCAGTGAACAAGCCTCCTGCAGTGTAGTGGTGGTTGCGGAGCATCACCACACTGCTGTTGAAGTGAAGGTCTTCGGGGTCAACAGCTTGCTGCCATGTCTGCAAACTAGGCATGCTGTGGAAACCGAATTCATTTGCAAATCGGCCGACGGGATAGTGGTTATAATTGAAGGAGACGCTCGTGTCGTAGTTATAGTAATCCGTGTCGCCATAGTATGAACCCGGAGTCGTATTTGAGTACCTTTCTGCCATAGGCACAGGCGCAGAGAGATTGACATACAAGTACCCTTCAGTCGTGCTACTGGGGCTGTATGTGATCGAGCGTGTGTTCTCGTACACGAGAGGCAAAATCAGACTGATATATAGCTTTTCGTATTCCTCAACGTACTTGGAATACCCCGTGGGATCCGCTGCCTTGACCATCGGAAGCATCAAGCTCTCGATCTCATTGCCGCCTGCCCACAGAGCTAGGGACGGGTGATGGTTTACTCGACGGACATTGTATACCACCTCGGCTGCAACATTCTCCAAAAATGCATCACTAACGGGGTAAAGTGCATCACTGAACTGAAACTCGCTCCAGAGCAGGATACCCTTTTCATCGGCAAGGTCATAGATAAAGTCATGGAGATATGCCCCAGAGGCCCAAACGCGCAGCATATTCTGGTTTCCCGTCGTTACTGCATCAAACAGCCGTGCCATTCTAGCTCGCGTCACCCGCGGCCAGAAGGCGTCCGGAGGTATAATGTTCGATCCTTTAGCATAGAACGCGTGACCATTGATCTCGAAATGCCAATTTGCGCCGGGTGCAATCCCCTGGGCCAGCTGGTCATCGGTGATATTCCTTTGGTTAAGGAAGATGGTACGAAAACCCGTTCTTTTGGTGACCTTTGCCAGGGTCATTTTCTTATCATTCTGCACGGTGATGGTCACATTATACAAGTTCTGTTCGCCCATGCCGCTGGGCCACCATAGCTTTGGAGCATCGCTATCGACGGTCGTGGTTCCTGTAATGGATCTTCCAGACACCGTAACATTTTGAAGGAGTCCTGAAGAAAGTACTGATCCCGATGCCGCGTCTTTAATCTCGATCGACATGGAGATTTTGCACGGCACAGGTCCTAAGACGTCGATACTCGCATTGACAACCCATTGTTGGCTCTGGTCGGGGGGGAGATAATTGATCTGGCCTTGTCGGTAGATGTCTAGGTCAGTGTTGAGAACGTAGAGTTCAGCATGGCTGTTTTGAACAATGTATGCGGGCTTCCATGGTCCAGCCGGAGCAAAGGCAGGTCCCCAATCCCATCCGAAGTCCGATTGTTCTTTGCGGATAAACCAGCGGTTCGGGTACTCGTTGGCAATTTGTACACCAGGAGGCCATTCTGTAAAAGCATAAGTTTCGCTCACGACCAGTCAGGAATGACAGGATTGTCGCCGGGATCCCTGACCTTCCGCATCCGGGCTTTTTGCAATCGCATTTGCAATATTTGGGGCGCTCCCGAAGTTGATCTTAAGCACTGGATCTTGTTTGCATTCTCTCAAGATCTGAGATACGTCGAAATGGTATTGCCGAAATTGGTTATCTGTTGAACCAACGTGCTGGTCGCAGAACGTGATTGTCGCGAAAGTGTCCAGTCCATCAAAGACAAGCCACGTGGACTCGAAGTTTTCAAGGCTGTGAAGCATCAACAGTCGGAACGATCAGATGTGATGTTTGTAGATTTTCGGCCATGGGTACTCACAGGCCTTCAATCGCGTTGCTGGTATACGTCCAATTGGCATCAGCAATCCAACGAAGGTTGAAATCATTCAGGCCATGATATCTGCGAAGGGTAATAATAGATTAGGATTCTGCTTGCCATCCAGCAGAAGTCAAAACACGCACGGGTCATCTACACGTATCGTTAGATCATGCAATTCAGATGTTAGGGGTCGGAGTCCCCATACTAATAACACCTGCCTCAAACAGGTCCAAGTGCACTTGAGAAGGAAGATGACCTGGCACCGTTCCATTTAACGCTGTGCTGCTGAGAGTCCAGCCATGTCCACTCAAATCCACAACATGCTGGCCGACAACCGAAGGTAAAGCGGGCGTAAGCAATGATAATACCGTCTCGGCTTTTACATGCATGACGACTAAACTGTGCTCAAGTGCTCAGCCGGTTAAAGACAAAGCAACTTCATGAGAGATTTCCTGATCTTGAACTCGAAATAAGGGCAGCCTTTATAGGATCCAACGCAGAGCGTCTCTCAGCATTCAATCCGATATCAAGTGTAGTAAACAAGCATTCAGCCACCAGAAACTACCTACTTTGCGAGTGACGACAGGTCGATCAGTACCAAGCGGGGAAGACGGTGCTAGGACCGTGTTGAATCAGGTAGAAGGGATGGGTTGGAGGATCCAGAAGGGATGGGTTGGAGGATCCAGAACTGATGCTTGTTTGAACAGTCTGATCAGCCCATGGATGCAACAGTATTTAATGCAATGATGCAACCGTGGTCTGCGATGTAACCAGTAAGTGATCTAGACTAGGAGAATCATAGCAAGCGGGGAAGAGAGGAGAAGATCGGCGCTGTGGGGGTGAAGCGAGGCAAGGAGTTTATCCCAGAGACTGTGAGACTGACATCTTATGGTTAGCATACTTGGAAGTACTCGGACGTCTTTGATACTCACCTATGTGTGCAATGATGACTGTCGTTGAGAGGTTGAGAGAAGAGGATGGTTCAAGGCTTCAAGTCAAGGGATAGCTTGGCTGACATGACACAAGACCCAAGGAGAAAACCAGCGAGGACATTCTATTATTTGGCTACCATCAACGTACCGTAAGGTATGATTCACTAATAGCGTAACCCAGAGCAAGCAGAAGTTATTATCGCCGGAATGGAAGGATAAGGATCGATAATGCAGGATGGCTTGGTGGAAGTGTCGGTCACTATATACACAATAACGGATCCGACATGTCCAGAACGTTCATAACTAGCCGATAACCAAAACATGATACCAGTAGCGATAGATCTCTCTTTCTCTGCTTCTATACACAAAATAACTCTACCGCCGGCATTTTTGTACATACCTAGCCATGGGTAAGCGTTTCCTGCGATTTGAGTCTATTGAAGACAACAGTGGCCGTTTGAGACCAACCGGACTATAGAGATTGCCGACGATCTATTGAAGACATAAGTATAGAAATTTCACAGAAATAGGTCTCATTGACTACATGAATGGATATATTCAACCCATTTTATACCACTCATTGTTGTCGGTAAATTGCTGTTCTATCGCCAGAGCCACGGCTAAGTGCGGGGATAGCATGACGTTGGGCCCGACGCCAACCGAGTCCTCCGCATTTCCCCAGAATCATAAGAAATCAAACACCGGTCGGTCCCTGGATCTCAAAAGGGTACTGTGATTCTTCTCTTTACCTCAATCAATGAGCTTTTGCTACATTGCAAACTTTCCATCATGTCGTTAAATCTTCTGGCCCGGTTACCGCGGCCAGCGCGCAGCCAGCGGACTTTCCTCCCTTCCGTCAAGCGATGGGGCAGTTCCATCTCCCAGCGGCCAGGATCGGATAGGTATTTGGCACACTCTCATACTCAACAGGAGAGGAACGAAGGTGTCTAACGG